TTATCTTATCTGGCACCATCTGCTGCTGATCTTTGGGATGTGCAGGGAAGCACGTACAGGGCCCTGACCTGCTTCAGCTTAGTCCAAACAGGGCTGCCTAGTTCAGACCCGGCCCAAACATGCAGGACGGGTATGTTGTGCATAGGCCGTGTGTTGGACCTGACTCGATGGCCTCTGGTAGCAGCAGCAGCTCTGTGCCCAGCACTGGTGCTGGGTATTTTGCATGTGTCATGACAGGTAGAAAGGATCCCTGTTGGTTAAGTGGTCAGCTCCTAACGAAAAGGTGATTTGTTCAGATGGTGTGGGATTTTTTAAACAGCTTTGGAATTACATAAAGATGTACTAGCCTTGGAAACCCTATGTGGCAGTTCTCTGTCCTATCAGGTTGTTCTACATTGGAATCAATTTGGTTTGGGATTGATGACAGGTACAAGGGACCCTAGTGGTGTAAGGATTAAGCACTTGGAACCCACTAAGCAACGCTATGAATCTACTTCAAGGAGCCCTGGTGGCATGGTTGGGCAAGTGCTGGACTGCTAACTGCAAGGTTGGCGGTTCAAGACCACCAGCAGCTCCTAAGGAGAAAGACAAGGCTCTCTGCGATGTTATTTATCTTAGCCATTATCTCATTTAATACTCTTGACTGATTTCTTAGACTTCAAAGAGGGGCCCTGATAACACACTGAATAAAGCATTGAGTGGCTAAACTGCAAGGCTGGCAGTGTGAGCCCACCATCTGCTGTAAGGGAAAAAGAGGAAGCTGTTGGCTCCCAGAAGAGATGTCTAGTCTCAGAAACCCCACGGAGCAGTTCTGCTCTGTCCTCTCGGGTCACTATGAGTTAGAGTCTACTGGATGACAGTGGGTTTGTTTGGTTCCTTAATCCTCTTTCTTCAAAGAGGAAACTGATGGCTAGAGTTAGCAACTTGTCTGAGTCACACAGTTAAGCCTGGGTAGACTGGCGCGTGCTGCCTCACACTGCACACTGCTGGTCACTGACAGACCCCCTGGCCCTTCTGCCTAAACATCAAGACACATGAGGTGTCATCCGGGCCTAGTTACAGGGAAGAAAAACCACTCTAGTGTTTTAAACAGAAAGGCCCTCAGGAAAGGGCATTGGGTGCTCTTTACAGACCATCTCTTTGAGCCAGTTCGTGCCAACTCCATCCCCTGCTGAGAAGTTGCCTCTCCATCCCAGGTACACTAAGTCAGAGCCCACCGTCCACCACAGAGTTCCTGCTAAACTGTTGGGTTTGACTCCGTTCTACCTGGGGTGGAAGTGCACATTCTTAGCAAGGCGTGGAGTTGGAATGAACTGGTTCAAATCCCTGTGGCCAGTCCTTTGGAAGGACTTGGGGGAGTGGGTTCCAGGCTGAGCCTTTAGAAATGAGTTCCAAAACTAGGTGCCAAACGGACCCTCCCCGGGAAGGAATCGGGCCACCACGGATACTGCTGAGTTCCAGGTGACACTGCTAGCTGAAATTCGGGAGCCCAGACGTCCACCAACTAGTGACTGCTCTCTGACCCACACTTGTCTCTTGACATCCATGAAGTTCTGACACTGGACTACTGCTTCAGAAAGCCCAGGTTTTCCTGGCCACGCTGGTCAGCCTCTCCAGCCTGGGGCAGACTCGCTGCTCTGCTGCCTAGAGGGGAACACTGCCTTCCAGCTCTCCATAGTGGCGGCTGTTGCCTGCTGTGGTCGATTCCTGCTCAAAGCCACCGTCGAGGACAGTGTCCGACTGCCCCTTAGTGGTTCCAGGCTGTCTTCTGTATTGGGCAGAGCGCCAGGTCTTTTCTCTGGAGGGTTTGTACAGCTGGCCCACTGGTTAGCAGCCAGGCACATTAATCTCTGAGCTACCAGGATTCTTACCTCTTCCTTTAACAAAATCTAATTGGTCTTTAAGGAAATCCCTTTCCCACAGGGAAACATCACTGGGTGGGAGCCTGGGAAGTGCCCTTTCAGTTTTCCAGACTCTGCAACACAGGAAGGTCCACTGGGAGGAAGATTGCATGAAACTATCCATGCTTGCTCCTGCTCATACCTGCGAGGAGGCGTTTGTTGCCAAAATGCCACCTTGTTAGTATGTAAGAACTGGTTAGGGCTCAGAATGTGCTTGGCAATCAGGGCTTTCAATAACGACAACTTGCAAATTAATTACACAGAGCAGCTTTTGCTCCCCACCGAATTGTGCGAGTCAGCATGTTCTTCGAGCGGCACTCTGGAGCTGGCCACAACAACACCCTTCTCCACCGGTCCCCTTCCCCAAAGAGCAGACTACTAGTTTACCTGTAGGTTCCACCTCACTGTTTTGTTTTGGCTGATGGGTGTTTCTGGAAACTTTTAGCACACAGCTGGTTCCCTCCTTGACTGCATTTTCAATGTAGGGTGCTGTCTGAGCTATTGCAAGTCTCTCCCCCCACCCCCATGGGACAGAGACTCACTGCTCCCTCAGGGTCTTTGGGCTATCACCTGTCTAGATGGGGTCTCTGGGTTGTCAGGTCTTTCTCGAGCAAAGCTGCTGGGTTGACTTGACCCAACCTTCCTGTTAACAGCCAAATACATACTTAACTCTTGTGCCACCTGGGTATCCTATTTAAATGTAACCTTTTAAACATGTCAGTAATGCACACTCCACCTCTACGACTTTTGTTCTCCACTTGCTCTTGTCCCGTTTATCCGCATTTCTGTTCCGCTCTCCCAGGCTCTCCAGCTCTATTGACTGTGGAACTTGTTGCTGTTAATAACCGTGCAACCATAGGAAGGAATCACGGTGCATCTTCTAGAATACCCAGACCATCTTGGCTATACTGTCTTTATTGGACATTTTCTTTAAACCCGGGTCAGCAGGGTTTGCAGTGGTTGATAGCTGGAGTTCAGACTGCTGAGCAAATGCGTAGTTGATACATGTGTTTTACTGATTTTAAAAGCAGCTGTACTTTCTCTAAAGAGCCCTGGTGTGCTGTGCTATAAATGTGGTGCTGTTAACCAAAAGATTCGGAGTTCAAACCCATCAGCCACTTCGAAGGAGAAAGATGAGGCCATCTCTCTGCTCCCTCAAGGATTTACAGCCTAGGAAACCCTGTACAGCAGTGGTTCTCAACCTGTGGGTTGCGACCCCTTTGGGGGTCAAACAACTCTTTCACAGGGGTCATCTAAGACCACCGGAAAACACATATTTCCGATATGTTTGGAAAACACCTATCCTGCACATTATGATCCATAAGAGTCGCAAAATGACAGTGATGAAGCAGCAACAAAAATAATGTTATGGTTTGGGGGTCACCACCACATGAGGAACTGTATGAAAGGGTCGCGGCATGAGGAAGGTTGAGAACCGCTGCTGTTGAGGGTCACTGTGAGCCAGAATTTGCTTCATGGTAGTGGATCCACTTCTTGATGGTGGTGTTCTCAGCATGTTTGCTTAAAGGTCAGCCCAGAGAGTCACTGCTTAGGAAGCACTGGGTTCCCGTTAAAGGGGATGGAAATATTTGGAAACACACACACACACACAAAATGCTGAAGCAGCAAATGCTTTCTTATATATGTTTTTATCATGAGGTCATTTTTTTGTTTTCTTATACTTGCTTTATTTTCTAAAGTTCCTATAAGTATCTAATATTTTTACAATTGGGAAAAAATTAGTATTTCTTAAAGTCATGCCACTGATTCAGTCAAAATTCTTTAGAGGAAACTCTTACGTTAATTTAATTGGGCTGACCAGATGTTAAATTCATTTTTCCATTTGCCCACAGATTAACACAGTCGTTGCAATAACGGGCTCAAACCCACAGGCTGGTCGGGTTTCTGTTGTCCATTGCTGTGAGTCAGAACCACCTTGCCAACAACAACATGGAAATAAATCCTTAACAGTCTCTATATTAATACAACTTCATAGTCAATGAAAACACCAAAAACAGAACGGGCATCCTTTTTTAATATATATAATCGAAAAGGTTATATAACTTTTTTTACAATAAGAATTCTTACAGCTACTGTTCCCAACTGTGGTGCCCTCTGGAACAATCAGACAAACTAGACATTATAGAAGATGGGAGGGAGGGAGTGGGGCTTTCTGAGCCACGTGGCAGGATTTTCTTTCTCCCTCCTATTTCTCTCCTAACTACAGTTTTAGATACGCTGGATTTCTCAAGGTGAATCTTTGAAGTGAGTCTTTGGTTATCCTGCATCTCCTGTCTCTGCCCTTGCAGGAGAAAAGGCTGCCCTCAGAGCTCTCTGCTGGCCTGCCTGGAAAGAGTTGCCTCTCTTAACAAGTTTCTTTTCTTGTCAGGTTAAAGTGTTTGATTGCTTTCAAGTTGCCAGCGATATTCTGATACTGAAAATCTGTTCTTGCAGACTTTTAAATGTTAAAGTTGTAGTTAAAATATAGTGTTGTTTATTTTATCATATATTTTATATATATGTAAGGGAGCCCTGGTGGCATAGTGGGTTATGAATTGGGCTACTAACTGCAAGGTCAGCAGTTCAAAACCACTAGCTACTCTGGGGTGGGGGGAGGATGGGAGAGGGGAAGCTAGGGCTGTCCACCCTTATAATGTCCATTAACTAATCACCTGTGTCAGGTGATCTGCTTGTACCTGTTAAGGAAGTAATACCTGGGAAATGCTCCCATATATTTTATGCCCCTCATGCCCAGCTGCCACCTGTGTGTCAGTGGAGGTTGAATGGTGCGATGATGCCGAACAGGTCTCAGTAGGGCACCTGGACAAAGACAGACCAGAAAGAAAGACTTTGTGGTCTGTTTCTGAAAACCTGCCAGGGAAAACCTCCTGGGTCACAGGGGTCCGACCTGCAGTTAGTCATGGGCACAGGGCAGGACCAGGCAGTCTTATGCTTTATGGGAATGGGACACACCCCAAGTCAGAGGTAGCATGAGTCCGGGCCTCCTGGAGGGCAGCCGACCATCACACCTGAGCAAAGCTTTGGTCCCTGACTGCAGGATCGTGTTAGCAGGAGCTCTCTTCTCTCTCGACAGGACAGGCCTCTCCACACCCAGGCCAGCTTGGACTTGGAGCCTTTCCTTTCTTACTTCATTCACTTGGCTTAACTGGGTTTAGGAGCCGTATCTATATAGTTAACAGGTATGAACAGTTTTAAACTATCAAGGGCTCATGAGGAAGGGGGGAGCGAGGAGGGAGGGGAAAAATGAGGACCTAATGTCGGGGGTTTAAGGGGAGAGGAAATGTTTTGAGAATGATGAGGGCAATGAATGTACAAATGCGCTTTACACAATTGATTTGTGTATGGATTGTGATAAGAGTTGTATGAGCCCCTAATAAAATGATTTTTTTTTAAAGTCAATGTATGACATGGTCATCATTCTGATCTCCTCTTGGGTTGGTCTCCTGTTTGTTTGTTGCTAAATTGCTACTTCATTGCTTCTCTTGTACACGTAACTCTTCAGTTCTCCTTTAATAGGACACAAATACCTATTACATAAAAGTTCCTATTACATAAACACCCAGGCTTGTAAAATCACAGAGATCTTTTTTATAGCCAATCAGCCCTCAAAGCCATGGATGTAGACCCAGTGCTCTCACCTTCTAGAGAGGGAGATTACACCTGGAAAGGTCAGGTTGCTTACCTAGTGCCAGATGAGAGGGCTTCAAACGCTTTCTGGAAAAATTCCATTATCTTTTCATTCCGTTTTTCCCCATGACCTTTTTGAAGCTCCCTCATATAATTAGAATTATTGTCACACCCTCATCTCCATCCACCCCCACCACCCCCATCCCTGGTGCATATAAAACACACTGGTTAATAGCACAGCTGTAGAGTCGCTGTCTTGGTTAATGCCTCTGTCCATAAAATGGGAAGGATAATACACCACGTGTGAGGACCCACCAGCCACTGTGGGGAGGAAGACAAGGCCCTCTGCTCCCATAGGATGTATAGCTTGGAGACTGTGTGGGGTCACTATGAGGGGGAATCAGCGCCTTGGCAGTGGGTTTGGTTTGGTTTACATGTGAGGATCCAATGAGACAGGTATATGAGGGGTTACCCCCCAAACCTGGAAACCCCCCTCCAAAAAACTATGCATTTAAATTTTTTTTACAAAACAATCTTCAAAGCACTCGCCATTATACGTAAAACATGTGTCAAATCTGCGATTCCATTCTTGGAAACATTTTTCGAACTCATCAGTTTGGATGGCTGACAGCACTTCCCTCGCTTTTTTTCTTCACCTCTTCTACTCATCAAATCACTGTCTCTTCATGTCCCTCTGCACTCGCAGAAACAAAAAGAGGTTGCATGGAGTGAGGGCAGGTGAGTATGGTGCGTGGGGCAAGAGAGGCATGCTGTTTTTTGCCAAAACCTGGTGCACTGAGATGGCCGCACGAGCGGGTGCATTGTCGTGGTGGTAAAACCAGTCCCCCATCTGCAACAAATCATGCCTTTTTTGTTGCACACTGTTACACAACCTTTTCAGAACCTCTAAATCAAAAGCCTGACCTGGTGAATGAACTCCAAGTGCCCCATCCCCCTCACAACACACCCAGTTTATTTTGGGTACCCCTTCATGTATCATACATATTTTGGTGAGGAACACAATCCAATCCATAGCAATTATATTTTTGAATTTTCTAAAATTCCCTAATTTGTCTTTGTCACCGTGCTAATTTTCTTTCCTAGATTTTTACTCATTCTTCTTGCTTATTTTTTCATAAAACCTTAGGATAAAAAACAAAACAAAACAAAACAAAACAAAAAAAAAACCTTAGGATAAGCTTGTATTGATCTTAACAATACCTCACTGGTAGTTTTGTTATTATGATGTAATACTTAGAAATAACTTAGTCATAGAAATACTTAGTAATAACTTAGAAAGCACTGAAATCTTAACTCAAGGGTTTTGTCTTTCTTGTACATAAGACAAGGTATTTTGAAGTTTTCTGCATATGGGCTTACGCATTTCTTATTAAACTTATTCTTAGGAATTTTTTTATTTTGATGACATTTTAAATGGAAGTCTTTTATTTGATTATATATTTGATATGATGGTCTTTTGTATATTTGAAAGTTATTTATTTCTTACATTAATTTTATAATCTCCTTCCTGCTGTGAATATGCTTCCTGCTTGTAGTCATTTTGCAGTTGATTCTCATGTTCTTGATTTTTTTCCAGGTGTGGAATCACAGTATCTTAGATAATCGTTTTACCTAGACTTTTCAGTGGTCATCACTTTCATGTCTTTCTCTCGTCGAATTGTGGGCTACGATAGAAGTCATAGTGGGCATCCGCGTCTTACTGCTGACTTGACTGGGAGTGGTTCTAGTAGGATGCTAGATTTGGTAACACGTTTTTATTATTAAGAACATACCAGGTTCTGTCTTATGTAACAAGTCAATTTGGACTCATGGTGACCCTGTGTATGTCACAGTAGCATTATGCTCCGAAAAGTTTTCAGTGACTGGTATTTTGGAATAAGATCACCAAACCTTTCTTTCAAGAGACTTCTAGATGGATTAGAACTACCAGCCTCTAGGTTAGCAGCCAATGCATGAACCATTCGCACCACTTAGGGTCGCCAGGTATGACTCTCTACCTTCGAAGGGTTTACAGGGAGACAGACATGAAAATTGAGTGCTGTAGGTGTTTCAATAGACCATGTACAGGCACAAAATTAGGCTAATAGTTCATCAGCCGTAGTCCTGTCAAATAGAACACCCCCTGCAAATGCACGCAAATCGTGTTTGCTTAGTTTCTCATTGAAGTGTTTTATTGATTAGGTATGGTTTATCCTTGACTGTGGAGGCAATATACAGAGAACCTTGCGTGAAGAGCTCTTGTCTGTTTAGTAAGAACACTGGTGAGGATCAATAACTGATTACCTCAAGGAGCCCTGCAGGAGAAAAGATCTGTTCCCATGAAGTCTAACAGCCTAGACGACCCCGTGGAGCGGGGAGGTGACAGGGGTGCAGGCCATGTTCTACTTTGTCTTGTTGGGTTGCTGTGAGTCTGAATTGGCTCAACAGAACAACCCCCACCACCAGTACTAGTGCCTTTTAAAATAGTTACAGTTAATATAATTATCAGTGCAGTTGGACTGAAATGTACCGGCTTGCTCTTGTTTTCTATTTGTTTCATATATTTTTCGTTTATTTTTCCTTTCTGCTTGCCTTCTTTGGATACAATGTTTTGTGGTATTCCATTTTTGTCTCCATCATCTCCAGACTTAAGGATTTTGTTGCATTTTTTTCTTAGTGATTACTCTAGGGGGTACAGTGTACATTTTCACTTACCACATTCTACCTTCAGATAATGTTATGCCACTTCGTATCTAGCAGGGCTCAGCAAAAGACAGCCTCGGGCCAGATTTGGCCCTCTATCTACTTGCATAAATTTAGCTTTAATGGAACACAGCCACGGTCACTCGCTTGCATGTTGTCTTGGACTGCTTTTGCGCTACACAGTAGTGTGGAGTAGTTGCAAGAGACCACATGGCCTGCAAAGCCTAAAATATTTTACTGTCTTGCTCTCATGGCTACAGACAATCTCTCTCAGTAATAAATTTGTCTTACTGTCATTAGAATGCCTTCAAAACCAGTGCCCAATCAAAACAGTGACTTCTAAGCAATTCATGGGGCCAATTTAATCCCAAGCAGAGAAGTTAGTTCAGAAGGTCATGGCCTCTGCTTTTTGGGATTCTCAAGGGGGTTAACCTTCATAGATATTTTTTTTTAAAGTATTATTAATTGGAAGTTAATATATATCATTCCATAGTTCAATCACGTCAAGCAGTATTATACAATTGCTACCACACTCAGTTTCCAAACATTCTTTTTCTTCCTGGACTCCATCTCTTTTTTACAACCCCCCACCAGGGCACCCCCCCACCGCACCCCTGCAGGCTGAGGCCCTTATTCTACTTGTGCCCATCGGTTCGTCCATCCTGGGTTTCGTAGACTGAAAAAGAGAAACGCATAGACCACAACTGGAGAGGGTGACCCTCAATGACATCGCCTCTGAGACAAACCCTAATATGAACAATGTTGAAACCAGGTCAGGCCCAGCGAGCATCAGAGGGGGATCAGCTGGCAAGGCTTTAACTGTTCAAGTCGGGTTTATCCCTTTGATCTTCTGTCCTCATCTCTCCAGTGCACTCTGTTTCGGAACCACTCTCCTCCCGCCCGTCCCTCACTTTTGGGAAGAGGCAGATCACCAGAGGCTAATTTCCTGGGGTTCCCACAGGCATCCACAGCCTTTTGCAAACCGGTTTCTCACCGTTTTCATTCCGATACTAATCCCTCCTTTGACTTCAGATGATGTGATGATGGTGTGCTTCTTCCATGTGGACTTAGTTGAAATATCACTTGGATGGCTGCTTGCTTTAGACTCCAGACAGGGTTTTATCTGTTAACCGGGCACCATCTAATTTCTTCACCACATTTTGCTAGACACCCATATCTGCTGTGTTCCCTTCCTAAGGATGAGTATCGAGCAGGGCCATGATGTAAGAATTAATTGTTCTTAAGTTGAAGCTACGATTTAGTTCGTGTCCCAAATCCATTCCTGGATCTATGGATTTTGTTTGTTTTTTTATCTGCCTTTGGCTCCTTTTCAAAACCTCGTTAATTTATAGTAGAGGGTCTTATCAATCATTCCTCTGCGGCATAACGATCTGTTAATATTGTCTTTGATTAGCCCTTGGTATTAATTTTTTTAAGCCCTGTTAAGAGAGGGATATTGGACCAATGTAGGCTAGTTCTGTATTGCAGTACCTGAATTATTCACTAGTACAGAATCCATCCTTTTGTGGCTGAATACAACTTACACAAACAAGGGGGGTTAATGGTCAAGGAAATTTACAATAATCATCGTTGAGAATGTCCGTCAGCGGTTTGCCGTCATCATACCTGTCTTGATACAGCATCCAGGGCATTGATGCAGCGAGACCATGTGGGTCTGCCTGCCAACAGTTCAACAGTCTTGGTACAGCTGTCTTCTGCTTCCTCAGACTTAAGTTTCAGGTTACAAGTGTGTCTGAGGTAGAGCCCAGTTCACTCAGTGGACTTTCCGCATCGGCTCTCACAGATGCAGCCTCTAGAGTATGCTGTGCACCCTGAAGATCCGGGATTC